CCTCCATAACCACTTATACAAGCATACCATTTATACCATTGTGCTGTGGTGATTGGTGGATAAGAAAATGTGCTAAATTTTTAAAAATAAATTTTGCACAATTGCAAGTCAGAGAGAGAAAATTCTGAGTCATTCATCCCTGTGGATATGTTTTCCGGAATCAGTATTGTTCACGATCAATCTTTGCATGTCTCTCTTGGAGCCTGTGCTGGCATAGTGCTTCAGTGGAATCAGTGTGCCAGAGTTTGTCAGAGCTGAAGGCATCAACACTGGATAAAGACAGCTGAGGAAGGGGAGAAAGACTTAGTATTGGGTGGACGTAGGATCTCCAGATTTAGTAAATAAAAATACAGGATGCTCAGTTACATTTGAGTTTCGGGTAGACAAAAATATGGCTTTAATATGTCTTCTCAAATATTAAATAGGACATATTTATTCTAAAAATACTGTTTATCTGATATTCAAATGTAACTGGGCATCTTGTACTTTAGGTGGACAGGCAGGAAAGTTCAGGAGGGTTAAGTGGCAATAGTAGCAAAACCTTTTTAAAGATAAAATTTATAGTTTTCAAAGTGTCCTCATGTCATTTTGACCTCAAATTAAAAGGTAGGCACTGTTCCTCTAATTTTAGAGTTGATGAAAGGTGAGCTTCAGAGATACTAGGTGATGTGCTAAGGGCATGCCATGGGTGGTTGCAGTTTAGCCCTCAGTTTAGCTATTTTGACCTCAGCTTAAACTTAACAAAAAAGTTATCAAAAAAGTACAGATTGTTTTTGTACCCTTATCCCATCTTCCCCTAACAGTAGCATCTTATAGAAAGACAGAAAGATAATCAAAACTAGCAATTGTGATACAGTTCTATTCACTAATGCACAGACACTATTTGTGTTTTCCACTAATGTCCTTAATTTTTCCCAGGATCCAGTTCTGATTCCCACATTCCTGTCAGTGGCCATGATCCCTTGGTCTGCTACATATGGAACAGTTCCTGTCTTTCATGATCTTAACTCTTTTGAAGAGTAATGGCAAGTTATTTTGTAGAATGGCCTTCATGTTTTATGGGCCTGACATTTTCTAATGATTATGTTGAAGTAATAAGGAAGGAAACCCCAGAGGTGATATGTCCTCAGGGCAGATCAAATTACATTGATATGCATAAATGGTGACACTAACTTTGATCCCCTGAGAAAGAGGGTATCTTCTGGGTTTCTCTACTGTAAATGCACTCCCTTTTCTTTTGTGATTACTAAATATTTTGAGAGGACCTCCCTGGTGGCGCAGGCGTTTGAGCGCCACACTGTGAAGCTGTCCGCAGCCTCTGAAGCGCGGGTTCAATCCCCACCGGCCTGCAAGAGTCCCACATGGGGAAGCAGACCTCTCCTGTCTCGCCCGCTGCTCCCCTCAGCAGTGTATTTCATCAGTCTGCCTGTTCTGTTCCCTACTCTGTCTCTGGTGAATCTTCTCATCCTCCCGCACATCTGGCCTGTACCCTGGTTCTTGTATAAAAATAAATAAATCTTAAAAAAATAAAGAAAGAAATATTTTGAGAAGGGATGCTTTGAGACTATATAAATAAAATATTCTGTTTCTACTTAAATTTTTGCTCTCTGGTTTTAGCATTTATTGGTCGATCTTCCTTGCTGCTATAGTTGTGGTATTTTAGTGGTTGTTTTCTACTCTCTACATTTATTAACTGAATTTTTCTGTAGGAAAGAGTTGTAGCTTCACTGTCTCTCTCCTTCTTTAAACTTGGTTATTATGATTGGGAGTTCACTGCACAGGTAAAGGAGAAAACAGAAAAGTTTGGGTTTGACTATTTCCAGTGTACATTGGAAAGGAGTGGGGATACTTGTGTTCATTTCTAAAGTATTAATCAAGCACACTTCTAGCTAGGCATTGGGTGAGGAACTCGAACAAAAGAGAAATGCCAAGGAGGCTGATAAATTAAAGATTGATACTTTAGGTACTCTTTATAAAAGGGATAATGACACTGAATATTAAACTGGGAAATGATTGCATTGATGATTATGGCAAGACAAGTATAATGTTGTTATAAAAGCCTTCACTGCAAGATGAGTGCTGTGTAGTGTAGCACATCCCCAACAGATGATCATAACAGACATGCAGTTCTTGGTGCCTTAGTTTGAAGGACTGCAAGCACAATAACCTCTTTCACATAATTGATAGAAGAAATCAACTGAAAGATAATCATATCGATGGCCTTTGGAATCCATGATTTCTTTCCTGCCTGTGATTATGAGGCTTCAGAAAATTCTAGCATTACTCCTCTTTAGGAAGTTGGGATATATTCCATATTATGTATATATATATATATGTATATATATATATACACACATATACATATAGATACATGCATATGGTATCTGAAAAAGTTAAACTTCTATTCCTGGTGCTGTCTCTTTTAGCAGGTGACTGGTACAGATTATATAGGCATAACCCAAGTAATCCAAATATCAGAGGATAAAAGACTCACATGATCAAAAGATTTCCAAACTATAGCCCATTATTTTAACCAGCAGTTAATAGAACTAGAAGAAAGTTTTAAAAAGAACACTAACTGTCCTTTTTGTGGAATGTAATGAGATCCAACTAGGGACAAATGTAGATTCTCCATGTGTGGGTCAGTGGCTTATTATCCAATTAAAGGGATTATTTGTATATTCAAGCAGAATGTGAATTGTTTAGTACACCCCTATGAAGAATGCTTATGTGAATGAAGAGAACCAAATGCAATCATATTAATATCATTAAAAAATATTGTTTTCCCACCATAGAGATTTTTCCAGCTACAACAGCTTCATTAATCTGCTTATTCCAATACAGGCAAGTTTGTTAAACAGGTATAATAGCTTGCACTTTAGAGAGGAGGAAACAGTTCCATTATGTTATTTTTTCTAATAATGGTGAATCCAGATCCTGAACCCAAATGTTCTGATTCTAGTGTGATTTTTCACCTTATGCCATGGTGCCTCTGATCAGTGATAATCCTAAAATTCTTTTTGATTCTAAATGCAATAGTTATACATCCTAATTTTCGGAGAATAATTAGGTTTAGGCTTTTCTTTTTTTGGTCATAGCATAATTATCAGTAGCATGATTTTCCACTCTAAAAAATGTCCTATTTTGGACCAGAGAATATATGGTCACTCCACCTGTAGGAAGACTCAGGGAAATTCCAACTTGGGCTGCAGACTTTAAAAGTATGTTAAGGAGGGCATCCCTGGTGGTGTGAGGTGTTAAGGTGCAACCTATGAAGCTATCTGCAGCCACTGCAGCACAAGATTGATTCCTGGCCAGGGAGCTACCCACATGGTGCATCAGACCTCTCCTGACTTGCCCGCTGCTCCCCTCAGCAGTGTATTTCAGTCAATCTGCCTGTTCTGCTCCCCACTCTGTCTCTGGTGAATCTTTTCACCCCCACACTTCTGGCCTGCACACCAGTTCTTGAATGCATAAATAAATAAATCTTTAAAAAAAGTATGTTAAGGAAATTACAAATAAACTACCTAAATGTTAAAAAATAACTATGTCATTTATGTTTACTATGATGTATTCTGATATTGGGATAGTATGAAGGTATATAATGTACACACCTACATATATTACATGTATAATAAAAGATATATGATTGTCATATTTAGCATGCAATATATGCAACAATATGTAATACATGCAAAACATTATACATAATATGTACATGCACATATTTTTATATGTAAATTTAATATGTAAATATGATTGTATATATAGTGTGTGTATATATATATATGTTATATATAATCATATTTAATGACTGGGAACAAAGTTCCCCAAATGGCAAAACCCTAGTAATTTGATTCTAATTGTGTTTGCATATGTGGTAATATCTTGGTAATGAGACTTCATATGGTTATGTTGTTTTAAATATGTTTTTGAATTCTTACTAGTTCACGGTAAACATGTAAAAACTTTGCAGCCAAAAATAATCTTTTTACTCTCTCAATTAGAATTAAAGGGCCTCTTTTAACATAAGAATATGAAGTCACTCTCTTGGAGGAAATAAGACCCTAGAGGTAGTAGTCTAACAACATAATAATTATCTGTCTTTACCAGGAGAACCTAACCTTTTATTACCAATAACTTACTGATTATATTTTTTCATTTAAACTTGGTAAGAAGGCTCCCAGTCACTGAACTAATTTCCCATTTTGCAAGTGAAGTCAAGATGCAGATGTAGCATGAATGAGGCAGAACTGGGACCTCAGAGACTGTCTTAGTTGAGACCCTCCACCACTCCCTCTTGTGCTTCTCCTGTATGGCGTTCAAATCTACAGTGAGACACTAAACTTACCATAATTAGAGGCCAAGTCCTTTTATCTTCTCAAGTGTAGGGACAGGAGCAGCTAAAGCTGCCCTGTATCTCATAGGGAAATTAAGGCAAACTTTTCCTTTATTGAAGCAACTAGCTAGTCATCTATTAATGTTCATCTCAAGCTATTCAAAAGAACATGCCCCAGAACTTGAGACTTGGAGTCCAAGCCCAAATTTGTTGTGACTGTTCCTGACTTAAGATTAACAGCGCCTTGCTTTCCCCCTCTGGTCCTGGGATTCTCCATCCACACAATGAAAATTTGCAGCCAAATCATCTCTTGGGTTCTCTCTGGCTCTGATCATATTTGATTCCAGAATTTCAAACTTCTGGGGGAAAGGGCAATTACAAAACTATATTCCAGAAGCACCTTGTCTAACTTGTGCTCTACTTTTCTTTGCATTTGGAATGAGCCCAAAGAAAAGGTCATTTTTGCAGACATCTTGAGGTTGTGTTCCAATGTCCTCATTAAATAACGGGAGCCCAGACTGGCAGGCCCAGGGGAATATTCAATCAGGGAGAAAAAGGCCAAGTCATTACCAGAACCCTATCATCAGAGCTGTAAACACAAGCTTTTATTCGTGGGCTTTCACTGAAAGTATGTTCAATCATGCTCTCTCTCCTCATACAGGTTCTGTTTGTCAAATATGTGTGACCATTCCGATAAGTCACCAGAGGCGGGAAGGGAGAAAGAGAAAGAAAGAAAATTACGACCGTAAATAGACTCGGAACACAGAAAGATCAAAATAGACAGCCTCTGGCTTTACTGGATGAGTCACCGTTGCAGCCCAGACCGCAAAAAACAAGCGTGGCTTCTCTACTTAACAGCACTCTTCCTGTCTGGAAAGGAAGCACTGCTCTGATTGGAGATATTGGCCATTTTACAGACATCAAAGCAACTGTAGCAACTGAACAGACAAGAGGGGGAACAGGTAAAACAGTTTTTCCAAGTGCTTGTCTGGAGAACCAGCTCCTCAACTTTGATTTGAAGCTACATGAATGCTTTCATCTTTAGCCAACTTTTTTTTTTTTTTTTAATATGGTGGTCTTTGGTTCTGGTACAGTGTCTGCATCTACTTTTCCTCAAATAATATGAGTTTTGTTTCTGACTGAGTCTTAGTTTCCAGGCACTAGACTGAATACTATGTATTCAGAGATGAGTTGACATGAGGACCATTAATGGGGAGCTGGGACAACGACACCCAGCGTGACGTTATGAAGAGAAATAGGTGTTGAAAATAGGAAAACATGACACCGTTAATGTACAAAGGAGTTAGAGGTGGGCCACCACCAAAGGACTCCCAGGTTGACAGGCTAGCGCAAGGAAAGCCTGTGTGTACTCAGGACTTAGCAGTGTGCCCAGGTCTAGCCTGGCATGTAGCGTAAAATTAAAGGAGGAACAACAAAGTTCAATCAAAAGACTGGGAGCAGCTCAGGAAGGGTTTAAATGCCAGTATAAAGACTTTCATCCTTCTTTTCCATACTGTGGCTATGCAGAAAGGGACACTTGGGGATAAGGCAACCTTCAGAAGGAAAAGATGAAGGAGAAGCAAGATCCAGGAAGACCAGTTAGAAAACTGTTTCCATAGTTCAGGAGTAAAAGAAATTATGGCCTCTGTATCATGCTAAGAAATATCTATCTGGTTTTAATCCCTGATTCTTGAGATAAAGCTCCTAAAACTATAATAATTTCTCTAGTGATAGAGGTAATAAGGACTTTTTTTTTTTTTTTTTTTGATCTTACAACAGAGCTCCAAAATCCCTTGGCATCTCCTTGGTGATAGGAATGTCTTTTTTAATGAGATGACTAATGGCTGTGGTCTCTAGATAGCTTCAGGATGGGAACAGGTCACCAGAAAGATCCAGGTATCAAAAGAGAGTTGGATTTCCAGAGCATGAATAAATCACCAATGACCAATCATTCAATCAATATGCCAGTGTAATGGAGCCTTCACAAAAGCCCCTAAATTTTGGAGTTTGGTGAGCTTCTGGGTGGGTGGACACATTGAGATGCTTGAAGAATGGTGTGCTTAGAGAGTGTGGGAAGCTGCATGCTCTCTTATATGCTGCCTTGTGCATCATTTTCATCTCATTGTTCCTAACTTGTACCTACATAGTGAACCAGTAAAAATAAGTCAAGTGTTTTCCTGAGTGCTTTGAGTTGTTCTAGCAAATTATCAAACCAGAGAAGAGAGTTGTGGGACATCTCTGAACTTATAATGAGTTGGTTAGAAACACAGGTGACAAGACTGTTGTCTGAAGTGAGGGCAGTATTGAGGCAATATGTTCTTCACTTGTGGGGTCTGCACTAACTCAGAGGGACTGGTGTTAGAGAGGTTCAGGATTTGGCTGGTGTGGGAAACCCTCCCATACACATTTGATGTTAGAATTGTTTAGGGTAACAATACAGCAAACAGTCATGAGTAACATGAATCTCTAGAGCACCAATGATCAATGATTCAGTTGATGTGCCAGTATAATGTAGCCTCCACAAAAGCTCCCTAAATTATGGAGTCTACTGTCCCCCACCAAGAACATTTCTTCTGGGGTCACAAAGAGAATCTATAGAAGAAAGTCAAGTTGGTAGGTCTGAACTTCTAAGCTAGTCAGCAAGGATATCAGTCTAAATGTGTCTACCACCTGAAAAGGATCAGTATATGTTAAAATTATTGAGCTGGAGTGTCAGTGAGATCACCTGTGACCAATTCGATTTGACACAAAGAAAGATCACCCATTTTATAGAAAGATTGGACAAATCATTTTAGCTGACCTACTCTTGCTGTAAACTTTATTTGCTGCTTGGAGTTCTGACTGGAGGTTGGAGACTCAAGTCTGTTTTCTTTCCAAACCATGATTTTTTTTCCAGCAATAGTCCAGATCTTGGTCTTTAAAAGACAGTGGTATTTGGAAGGAGGAACACCCGTCTCTCTTCTGGCTCTGTTCTACTGTCTGTCTGACCTGGTATAAATCCTATGCGTTCTGGGCCCTGGTTTTCCATCTACAAAATCAACCTGTTGCATTATTCAATGACAACCAGGGCCTCTTGCATCTCCAACAATTTAGGACATATATTTAGAACAATCAGTCTCTTACTAGTGATCTTTTCTACTAAACCATCTCAATGAACTCTCCCGACAGTCCTAGGAGTAAGCACTGCAGTTACCCTTATTTTAAATGTTTTTTTCAGATGTGTAACAGTGGTATGGAGACACATAGAAAGTAGGTAATTTTTGTAAGAACTTACCATGATTTAATGATACATCTAGGACTAGTACTGAATCCAGCCCAATGTTCTCCTCCCTCTCCCAGGCTGCACTGATGTCTAAGAAGTGTCAATAATACATTACAAGGAATATGGTCAATTTCCATAATTGCTTTTAAATACCCTATGTTTCCACTGGGCCTCCTCAATGTGGCCAAGCTAAAAGGAAGGGAGCCATTTTACCAGAACACTGTGAAGTTTTACTTGTGAAGGATATTTCTTTACAAACTATGTCCTCTTATTCAGAGGTGTGAAGATGTTGAGCCATTACTTCTGTGAACAATCGGAGGCAGCCATGCACTTGGTAGAGGCAGGAGACGACACACTACTCAGTCACTCTGCCCATAAAGCTATGTTGGCTCTTGGTCAAAAGGGTCCATGTAGCCCATACAACCCATGTCCTGACCAGGGCTTGATCTTGTTGGTTTTAATGGTGTAAAGGCAGGACAGGACACAGAGCAGGTTTTCTGATCCCATGCAGACTGGGTAAAGGAGGAGTCAGAGTCCTCAGTAGATTTGAAGGTTTTTTATTGGGGTTCACCAGGCATATGGCAGGCAGGGGTGCTGGGGGGCTGGGAGGCTCTCCGGCTTTCTCTCGGCTTCCCCTTTGGCTTCTGCTGCTGCTGGCATCCCCGTGACACCGCCCCTAAAAGCACAGTCTTAGCCCAGGTGAATCCCATCTACCTATGCCTACCCCCTTTTCCAGGTGCCCGCCATCAGGCATGCATTCAGGACAAGGATCCATCATCTATCCTGATGGCAGGAGGGCAGAAAAGCCTGACATTTTTCCTTACCCTACAAATGGTCAGCCAGCATCCCCTTGAAGTACAGCATCACTTCTGGAACCTAATTCTGCAGTGTCATCTGGCTATAGACATCTTCACAAGATCGCCCCATCATGGCTGAAGCATGTTATCTTCCCCAAATACTTTCCCTTTCTTCTCAAATTGCATTACCATCTATTCACTGCAAAAAGTTAAAGCTTGGTCCTCCCTCCCTCTCTTCCTCTTCTTTGATATTGAGGTAACATGGGTTTAGAATAGCACACGTGATTCACAGGATGAATGACACTCCTCAGATGCCTGTCACCACAATACACCCTCAACCAAGGCATCCTCGGCCCTCTACCATAGTCCATTGTCACCCCTCCCCTCTTTGTGTTCCTCCTCCCCTTCTTGTAGTCTCACTTCCACATCAACTTTCTAGGGTAAAACCTGGTCCAATAAAACCTCCGGAAAGTCCCAACTGTGCTCTCTTTGAAATCTCTCTCACTTGCATCCCCTTTTGTAGTCTCCTCCACTGTCCATTTCAGATCTTCCACCCTGTTTCCCTGGACTATACCTGAAGCTTCCAAAATGATATTTCAGAACAACTGGAGAGGAAAACATTCATTTAAAATTTTTAAATGGGAATATAGGGTGTAAATCCCAAATTGAAGGTGGATTTTTCCTCCCAGAGTATCTTCTGGGAAATGCTAATCTAGTCATTCTAGATGAATTATAGCCCCTATCATTGTCACATCTGTCCACCCCTCTTTGTCACTGCAATTGTAATTTCCTTTGCTTTGAATGCCCTTCTTCCTGACTCTTGCCATCTAGGGAAATCCTACGCATGTTTCATCACTCAATTCAAATGTCTCCTACCCTCTGAAGTCTTCTTTGATCCCACGTCCCAACTTAACCACTGAATTCACAGACGACTGTGACTGCATGTCTCTTATAACATTTACTTTACATCCTAGTTGTGGGTATGCTTGTGTCTAAGTCCCTTAAGAGCCAGGATCTATATTTTATTCATCTTTTGGTTGTAAGTCCAGTATAGTGATTCTGTTCTCTTTACTTTCTTCCACATTGATTAACTTATGGTCGATGCTCAGTGGACTTCATGCAATCAACAAGCTTACTTTCTAGTACAGTGATCTCCATGCTCTTTGCATCCAATCTTCTACCTGGCCTAGAGAGTGACCAGAGGGATTACTCTGGGACATTAGACATAGAGGACATTGGCTTTGACATAGAGGACATAGAGGACATTGGCTTTGAAAAGGATATGGGACAAATATAGCAGCAATTACAGTACAAGTTGCATATGGGAGAGGAATTTTAGGTAAGTGGAGCCACTCTGGAAAGCAAATGCTTGGGGAAATCCCTAAAACTTCAGCACCAACATTGAACATTTCCTGAACATTTGCTCTGTGCAGGGCACTATGTTGGGAGCTATGCAGATTTTAATTAGTAGCTACATAGCTAAGGATTTCTGGTTACAATGAATAAAAGCCAACTATGTCAGCTGGGATACAAAGAGAAATTTATTTTAAGGATGTGAAGGTGTCAGAGTCCATGGGCAAGGAAGCAGCTCGGTCTCAAACTGGGCTCAGGTGTTGGGGAGTCATAAAGAACCCAAGAAATAGCTCTGCCTTTGTCTTTGTCCTCTGTGTGTAGTCTTCATCCTTCTTGTTAGAACAACAATGTTCTTAGTGTTTTTAATCTCTTCATGATTTAGCTAGTATTGAGTATCACATATAGCTGTGTTACCTCAAACACCATTTCCCTAGTTCTCCCAGGTAAAAGATGATTCAATGGCTTAAATGTCAGCTGTCAGCTGGGATGGCCAATTTTGAGAAGTTCAGCCTTAGTCATTTTTCAGAGTTGGTGGTGTTATAAATACATTTTAAAAAAACACATTAGAAATAATGACTCCTTGGGAAAAACTGTATGCAACTTTATAATGAAATGCCTTTGGTCAGCCAATAAAACCTGTTTTATACA